CCCCTGGTGGGGCTGTGCACCTCCTGGGTTAGATGGAGGTCCTGCACTCTGTCTAAGAACCTATGTGAGCGTTCAGACCTGGCTGACTACTCTTCCCAGCAGATGTCCGGGAAGTTCAGGTCCCCCATGACTACCACATCCTTAGCCTTCACTACCTCTGTGAGCTGACCCAAGAATTCCAAGTCAAGCTCTTCTCCCTGGTTGGGAGGTCTGTAGTAGACTCCCACCATTAAGTCTCTTTACCCTCGACTGCCTCGTACTCTAACCCAAAGCACTTCAGAGTGCCTCTCCCCTGACTCCTTGCTAATTGACGAGGATGTGTATTCCTGTGATGGGCTGTGTCCTGCTGAAGTCTTAGTTATCATCACTAAGAGGAGTCACTGTTTGCCAGCTGGACAGAGAGGATCCTGCCATGGCATCAATTCTCATCTCTCATTCTGTAGGGTGAAAGTCTGGCAGCCACAAGTCTGCAGAAGAGTCTGACAGAAGGAATCCAAGACAGAGGACAGATGGGAATCTGCAGGCTGTATAACTAACGGAGGAGCCTGTTTATACTTCCCTGCCACTGTGAGAGCAGAGTTCTGCTACTGCGTCAGGCTGTTCAGCGCACAGAGAATTAACCCTTAGGTCTCCACCAGGAACTAAGCCTGAGGGTCAGATTCCAGGGTGTGGTTATTCTGTGAGTCAGCCTGTGTCCCTGGTGTACTCTTTCAGGTCAGCTACTGATCATGTGCACATGCTCTTTGTTGTCCCAGGGTGAGAGGTCCCTTGCTTCTCTCCTCCTCTGCACTTGTGGTTGGATTTATCTCCTGCTCTTAGGAAGGCACAGAAAATTAGCCACCACTTGGGGCTTTTAGGTGTTCCTAGCCACACACGGAATGTGAATGAGCGACCCAGAGGAGAGGTAGCTCATTTACTTTCTCCAACTTTCTAGCATGGACATATAGAACCATGGAAAAGAAGGGCTGGAAGGGACCTCTGGAGGTCATCTAGTCTAAACCCCTGCTGAACTAGTCCAAACCCCATCCAAACCACCCTATGCAAGTATCCACCTAGCCCAGTGGTTCTCAAACTTCTTAGATTCAAGGCTTCCCTTGCTAGCCTCAAGGCCCCCTGCAGAAAATACTAGCTCTTAGCTTTCATTCACTTCTTGATTCTGGAAAAATAATAGAGCAACTCTTCTACTGCAGACAACACTGGTTAGCACTACAGATGAAAGGGACTTAGGGGTC